GGGAGGCGGGGGGGGGGGGACGGAGAGGAGGGGTCCCGACGGCCGCTTTCCTCCAACTCCTCCTCCGCAGTTGTGTCTCCTCAACGGCGGTCCCCCGGCAGCAGCGCCGCAACTGCCATTCTCCCCGCCCGCCCTCCCTCCTGCCCAGCCTCCGCCCCCGCCGGCCCCGCCCCCGGCGCCCCCCGCCCCCGCCCCGCCCCGCTCCGCCCCGCGCGCCGCCCGCGTGCTTACGTCATGGCGTCACGCCCATCCGGCCGGAGCCGGCGGTTTAGGGGGCAGCGGCGCACGTTCGCCCCGCGCGGGTGCGGGAACGCGCCGACCCGCCTGCGCGCCGGGGTCCCGGGGTCCCCGCAGCAGCTCGCCCGGAGCCCGCGGCTGCCCAGGGACGGAAGGAAGATGCCGGACTTCGGGGTTTCGCACGCCATTACGCGTTCATTCCTCTGTCCCGGGCCCTCTGCTCGATGGGCAGCTCCGGGAGAGAGAGGGGTTCGGGACGGTGCAGCGAGTCGTGCAAGCAAGCTGCCCGCCCGGGGAATGTCCCTCCCGGGGGTGCAGGAGCGCCCCGCCCGCGCTCGGTTAATGTTCCTGGACCTCAGTCTTCCGCGGGGGCTGCTAGGAGCTGCCCTGAGCCACAGTTTCACACCCTAACACCCTGCAAGGGCTCGGAAGATATTTTCCGCTGGCTTGCTTGCTTTCTTTCTTTCTTTCTTTCTTTCTTTCTTTCTTTCTTTCTTTCTTTCTTTCTTTCTTTCTTTCTTTCTTTCTTTCTTCTTTCCTCATTTCACAGTCATTTAAGCATTGAGAATTCACATTTCAGTTCTTTAAAAACACACACAAGGATTTCTCTATTTTCAGTCCAGAGTTTTCCATTAAAAAAAATACATTTTATTTATTTTTTTACATTGGAAGGGAGAAGGATAGAGAGTTAGATACATTGATGAGAGAGAAACATTGATTGGCTGCCTCCTGTACACTCCTTGCTGGGGATGTGCGCGCAACCAAGGTATATGCCCTTGACTAGAATCGAACCCGGGACCTTGAGTCCGCAAGTCTACACGCTATCCACAGAGCCAAACCAGTTAAGGCATATTTAAGTTCTTATTGATACATTCAGAGTTACTTCAGCTTTGTTGCATCCCCTCACATTCTTAATATATATATATATATATATATATATATATATATATATATATATATATATATATATATATGTAATTGATCTCAGGAAAGAGAAGAAAAGAGAGACAGAAAGAAAGAGAAACATCAATGATGAGAGAATCATTGATTGGCTGCCTCCTGCACACCCCACGCTGGGCCCACAAACTGGGCATGACCCTGACCTGGGAATTGAACCCGTGACCTCCTCCTGGTTCATAGGTCCATGCTCAACCACTGAGCAACACTAGCTGGGCCACCCCCTTGTAGTCTTCACTAGTAAGCCAGTTCATATCCCCTTTGGATTGTTTAACCTAAACATGCCTTGCAATCAATTCTTGGTTGAATAAATATTCAGTCCAGACCCAGTTCATTCCTTCCTAGTTTGTTTCTCTCCAAGATTTAAATTTACTCTTCCTTAGAATACTGAGAGCCGGAATGTGATAGATGCTGGACAGAATGTCCTTTTGCCATCTGTTACTTAACTAAATATATCGCCCTTTCGGTCTTTGTGTTAGTGTGTCTAATTTAAATTAGAAACAATCTGAGGAATCCTGGTCTTTCAGATGGTACTTGGTGTCTTTGGTAACCCAGTAAATGTTTACCAATGAGAACACTAAACAAGCTAGGCAATTTAAATATCTGCAACCACGAAACCTAAAGGAAGACGTGACGGGCGTGTTTATTTTCATAGATTGGACGTTTTTAAAGCTGTTAGACGTATATCCCTTTAAGTGCTCTTTGAAGGCTGCCAGCAGTTTAATCAGAGGGGTAGTTGAAGCCTAAAGGTAGCACAAGAATCGTCATTTAAATGGATTTATGGAACAGTACTCATCCATAATGTAATCCTTCTTGAAAACATGTCAACATGCTCAACAGCGTTTCAGAACAGATGGGGCATGGGCTTGGCAGGGGTTTTTGAGTAAAGAGGCTGTGCTGGGTGGGCGTGGCCTGGCACACTGCAACTGTCACATTTTCCAGGATGCCTCTTCCTGCTTGTCTTCTTGAAAAGTACAGGGATTTCCTGCTCTTCGCCGAGGCAGTATAGATCTATGAAGACACACATCTATTGAACATCTCCGCTGGAGTCCCCAAAGGCACCTCAAACTTGGTCTTGTCCAAGACAGAATTTATGTTTTTCTCCAAACTTGCCTGTCTCATTCACCTAGGCCCAAGCTGGAAATCTAGGATTTCCCCCTCCAGGAAACCCTCCTTTTGGCCACTTCCAATTCAAAATGAGTTGCTATGTCCTACTTAGGATACATTCTAAACATCCCTGCGCTCACTCTGCTATTGCTTTCAACGCTGGCTGCACGTAGAAGACGAGGCAGAGTTGTTAAAAATCCTGATGCCCAGGCGACAACAGCCACCAGGTGAATCTGAATCTCTGAGGATGGTCCACAGGCATCAGCGTTTTTAAGAGTCACTCACTAGGGGATTCCAATGCACAGCCAAGGTTGAAAACCATCGCTACTGCCTCGTCATTTCCCACTGGATGGCTGCAAACACCATAATATAATAATTGGCCCCTGGTGCCTTCATTTTTGGCGGCCTTCTCCATTCTTTATTCTAATCCACTCGACATTAATTTAATAAATACTGATTCAGTACCTGGTATGTTGGAGAGACAGGTTTGTTGTTGCAGGCACTGGGAATACAGTAATGAAAAGGACCGTCTTTGTTTCTGCTCTTATGGAGCTTACATTCTGGAGGGTGAGGTGGGGGGTGGTTGGGAGAAGCAGAAACCAGGTAGGCTGTTACTTTAGTGTCTCAAAGTGAAGTGCACTCCGCTGACATTTGAGCTGTGTTCTCCAAGACAAGAACAAGGAAAACAAGAGATGGGGAAGGCAGACGGTATAGCAGGTGCAAAGGTCCTAGCAAGGCAAACTTGTCAAGTTCGGGCAGCTAGAGGCTGAAGTAAAGTAAGAGAGAATACAAATGGCATGGGGTTAGAGAGATGGAGTCATTACTGAAGACCTTTTAAAGTTATGATAAGCAGAATTTTAAATAGTTGGTACGATGTGTGTTTGAATTACCTTTGCAAAGGATCACCCTGGCCCTAGCCGGTTTGTTCAGTGGTTAGTGTCAGCTGTGGACTAAAGGGTTGCATGTTCAATTCTGGTAAGGGCACATATCTTTTAAAAAAATATATATATTTTATTGATTTTTTTACAGAGAGGAAGGGAGAGAGAGATAGAGAGCTAGAAACGTCAATGAGAGAGAAACATCGACCAGCTGCCTCTTGCACACCCCCTACTGGGGATGTGCCCGCAACCAAGGTACATGCCCTTGACCAGAATCAAACCTGGGACCTTTCAGTCCGCAGACCGACGCTCTACCGCTGAGCCAAACCGGTTTTGGCAAGGGGCACATATCTTGTACCTTGGTTGCAGGCTCAGTCCTGGCTCTGGTTGGAGCATCTGCAGGAGGCAACCAATCAATGTCCAATGTCTGTCTGTCTCTCTCTCTCTCTCTCTCTCTCTCTCTCTCTCTCTCTCTCTTCACTAAAAATCAATGTAAAAAATATCCTCCAGTGAGGATTAACAACAGCAACAAAAAGATCACCTGTTTGCTTTGTGGATCAGATTGTGGGAGAACGAGAGTGGATGGAAGCAGGAAGACCAGTTAAGAGGCCACTGCAAGAATCCAGGAGAGAAATCATAGTTCTTTGGTCCAAGGTGGAGACAGAAGTGGATGGTTTCGGTATTTGTTTTAGAGGCAGACTCTGTAAGGCTGTGTGAAAGAGAACAATAGGGTTACAATAATAGCTATTCTCCATTGAGTACATTGCACGTGTCAGGAACTGTTCTAAGTGCTTTATAAATATTAAGGCATTTAATTGTCAGAAGAATCCTAAAAGGTAGGTGCTATTATTATCCCTTCAACACATTAGGATCTGAAGCTCCAGATCCTAAGTAATTTGCTTAAGTCTTATGGTTGGTAAGTGGCAGAGCTGGGCTCGGACCCTCAGACTCTTCTCCCACCCTTTCCCTGACCCCTCCCTTGGTGTCACAAAATGTGAATTTCTTCAGCCACATCAAGTTTTTGTGGTACCATACATCCTCCATCTCTTTTCTCCTGTCATTTCTTTTCTTCTTCTTTCTTTCTACTTCCTTCTTCCTTTTCCTCCTCCTCCTCTTCCACCTGGCTCAATTACATGAACCTTAGCTTGTTCTTACAGGTTAAGTCAATCCACAGCAATCCTGTACTCATCTCTATAATTTGCTGTGTAACGTACCTCATTGTTATGGTTAGGCCTTTCCCACTAAACTTTGAAGGGGAGGAATTTGATGCCAAGGAAAGAGCAAGGAAGCAAGCAACAAAATCTAGCCATGCTCACATGCCACACAACATTGGGAGACAAAAAATGGTACAGCCTTGTCCCTCTTCTCAAGGAGCTTGTACACTTGGCAGAGGAACAGACACATAGAAAGCCACTCTCATACAAGGACCAAGAGTATGATAGGGCACATGATACAGGAATACTGGGTAGGATATGGATGGCAGGAAGTTTTGCCTGGAGTTGGTTTCGCTGGGGGGAGAGAGGGAAATACAACCAGGAGTCTACATTTTGAAGAAGTGGCGTTAGAAGAAATTTAAGTTAAAAAAATTTGGCTCTCACCGAAACCGGTTTGGGTCAGTGGATAGAGAGCTTTGGCCTGCGAACTGAAGGACATGTACTTTGGTTGCAGGCACATCCCCAGTTGTGGGTGTGCAGGAGGCAGCTAATCGATGTTTCTCTCTCATCGATGTTTCTAGCTCTCTATTCCTTTCCTTTCCTCTCTGTAAAAAATCAATAAAATATATATATTTTTAAGAAGTGTCATGGAGTTTGTGACTGTAATACTCCCTCTGGCAAGATCTGGAAAGTATTTTTCCTTGGTTTTAGCACCTGATACAGTAATTTCCCTTGTTTATTATCTCTCTTGTTTTTGTCTTCTGAATACGTAATTGTGGAACTGACAGCATTTCCCTTGGTTGTGAGAAAGCTCAGAGCCATATACGTGGCCTTCCGGCCCGCGTATAAGATCAAACAGGATGCAATTTATATACTTAACCCACTCCTGGCTTAAATCCTGTTTCCATTCCTTCACTAACTTCAGATGTTATGTTTCTGGCGCTATAGTATATGTATCTGTAACCCATCTGCTATCCTTTCTGAAGCAAGACAGGTATTAAAAAAAATGTGTATGAACACATGCCCACAAACAAACTGGTCCCGACTGCTAGTTATATAACGGAAAGGGACTATTTTTAAATGTACACAAAGAATAATTTTCTCACTTACAAAATACAGTTTTAACGAATGAATAACGCTTACATAATACTGGATTTTAGCTTTCCGCATTATTCTCTAGAAAGTGAAAAGATTCCAAACAAAAGCAAACAAGAGATTAGGTTAATTTTCAAGCGGGGGTTTTTTTTAGGTGTGACCTAGAACCTTCCACCAAATATTGTAATGAAGTACGTTCACTATTGAAATCACATAGCCTAACTAGGCAGCATTCAGGCTGTCACCTTCCCCATGAAATCCTGTGCTGCTGGAGAGGAAGGCGGATTAGGGAATCTGGTAATAACGATGGCCCATGAACAGGAGTCCTTGGTGAGACGTGTGTGGCTTCTAACAGTCTCTAGACAACTGTTCTTCCTGATAAATGCCTTGGTAATATGGTGGGGTTTTGGGGGCCAGTGCCCTGTGGTTTGCAGCTGACATATCTAAGACCACATGACAAAATTCACCTTACTAGTAAAATCACTGAGGAGTACGTTTTTCAACTAGTTTACTTAGCGGGTTGCACTAAATGCCCAAGACTCAAAGCTAGATAGTCTACGGATGGTGTACTAAGTTATTTTGGGAATAAATTGGCCATCTAGTTAAATCTGCTTCAAACATTTACTCTAAATCTACAAAGATCATGTTCTATACTGTGATTTCTGCCCCCTTTCAGCATGATTATACCCATTTGTCTTTCTTAAAATGGAAGTATTTTTTAAAATAGAAAAACTTTCAGAGAAAACGATAACAAACCTGGGTAACTTCTGAAAGAACAAATGTTAACATGTTCTCATAGTTGCCGTGTTTGTTTAAAGCAAAAGAAATGAGACCTACAGAATCAAAGCCTACTTTACTTTGTATCTTCCCCAACCCATTCCCTTTCTCCCAAGGCAGCAGTTATCTTGAACATTTTACCTTTCTGGTTCACATCCTTAATCTTTTACTATATAAGTATGTGTTCACAAATAACATATTTTATTGTTTTATATTCTAAACATAGTTTTTTCATAAATGTCGTACCAAATATATCATTCTACAGCTTGCTTTCTTTCTTTCTTTCTTTCTTTCTTTCTTTCTTTCTTTCTTCCTTCCTTCCTTCCTTCCTTCCTTCCTTCCTTCCTTCCTTCCTTCCTTCCTTCCTTCCTTCTTTTCTTTACTCAAAATTGTTTTGAAAATATACCCATATTGTCCTAACCAATTTGGCTCAGTGGACAGAACGTTGGCCTGTAGACTGAAGGGTCCTGGGTTTGATTCTGGTCAAAGGCATGTGCCTATGCTGGTCTATAAGGCTTTCTGGTACCAAGAATTAACCCATCAGACACAACCTTATAATGCAACGTGATCAATAAGATGCAACTCTATTATCTGAATTATTTATTTATGCTTCAAGACAGGGCATTCACACTGGATGACTACTGTTGTGTTGACTGTTGTCATTATTTTTATTTGACAATCTAAGGGAAAAGAGACCAGTGCCCCACTAAATAGTCAGGTATTGCATGTTTTAAAAATTCTTGCTAGCTTTTGACCAGACCAGTAAAAAATCGCTGGGATAATGCAAAAATAACTTTTATATGCACTGGAAAACTAAAACAATTAGGACTTGCTTTATTGCAATAGCTACTTTATTGTGGCAATTTGGAACCTGAACCTCAATATCCCCAACGTCTGCCTGTACAGAGAGAGGAATGCTCATAGATCAAGGTCCCATTACATCTGTTTCCTCATCTTTACAATGAGAGTAATAAAAGTACCTCTTTCTTGAGATTTCTGTGAGAATTAGATAAAATATTAACTATAAAAGCATTTAGCAGAGTGCCTGGCACATAGTAACAGCTCAGTAAGTATTCGCTATTATCAAAAGTGTTATTTTCAGATGAGTGGATATTGGTTTCACTGGCTTTATTTGAAGATGGAGTGTCATAGAACAATAGAATTTTTAAAGAAAATTATTCCTCCCTGTAATAACATTTTTTGAAGTTTTATTTTTATGTTTTCCATTTCCTTTCGAATTGAGTTTAATATTTTTGGAAGGATCTCAGCACTGGAACAGTAAGAAGACAAACCATTTAAGCAGAGAGAGAACAGCAGGAAGAGGCAACGTGGCATGAACTAACTCCTGCTGGATGTGAACAGCCTGTTGGGTAGGGTGCTCCCTTCATCCTTCTTTTCTGCCATTTATTCTCTCCAATGGGATTGTCACGTTAGCTCCATGGATGCTAGCTGGGAAACTCATCAGCAATTTCCAAAAACAAGTCTATTTCTAGAATGGTTTCAGTTTTAAACATTGCATCTACCTTTGCCAGGGGAATCCCATCAGAAAAGTATTAGAAGACATATTTAAACACTTATTTCCTAGCAAATGTGGTCAGAATCCAAAATGGCTAATTGAAAGTTTATGTGATCTAAAAGATGGGCATGAGATGACATGTAAAGCCTTGGATGTATTAAATGATATTTGGGGATGGGGAGGAGGAGGGGGGGGGGTGAATTCAGAACCCTTAGTGAACTTGTTGAAATTCATACTTGGGAGTTTTCAAAGTTTGGAGCTGAATGACTGTGCCAAGCCAGCATTCCTATCAGTGATCAAAGAGAATAAGATTTTTTAAATAGTTGGGTAAACGAAGCAAGGGAGAAAAATATCTGAAGTCTCAGGGCCAGAGATCTGTATCCAATTTCAAATGGTTTCTTAGGGTTTTTATATCCTGTGATAAAAGCGAAACTTTTAACCACCGTGTCTCAAGGCCACGAGAGGAAAACCGAACAATTCCTCTGCTGCTGTGACTTTGAGATGGCCTTGTTCAAATAAAAATTCCCACACACTAAAGCTGTATCATCACTTTTTTTTTTTTTTTTTTTTTTTTACCAAGCGGAGGAAGGTGCCTAATTCAGATGATTTTGTCCATTGTTGGTTCCATATATCACATGAGCTCATGTATGTTATCTTCTTTGCGTTTCAGTATTAAACAGAAGAGGAATGAGTTAATAGCAAGCATTTTGAGATTTCGAGATAATACTTGAGACATTCTATTTTCAGAAGTACAAATCTGCAGTGCAAGCAGATTCAAGGATTTGGATGACTGAAGTAGATGATCAGTCATAAAGAGGTGTTTCTTTTGTTTCCATCTTACTATGACTGACTTATAAACACAATATGAGAACGAGGGTAGAATTTTTTGTTTTCCTTTCAAATGAACAACGAAGCCCCTTGAAACATTACGTTTTGAAGACTTAGGAGATCTGGAGGAGGGGGGAAGTTCCTTTAATTCTCTTCTCCTTTCAATCTCCACCCCCACCTCACTCCATTTAACAATGAGTCACTGTTTTTTGTTTACTAGACTTCTAATGTATCTTTGCATTTATGTTTCACAAGTGAAAATTTTCCAACCTGAGAAACCTAAATATGTGTATTTGAAAAATAAATGGCATAAAGAAATTTAAAACAAATTTAACAAAAAACATTTCAACAACAGGCAATAAAAAATTTAATTAAAAAGATTCATTTTTTTAAAAAAATGTATTTTATTAATTTTTTTAGAGAGGAAGAAAGAGCAATAGAGAGTTAGAAACATCGACGAGAGAATCATCGATCAGCTGCCTCTTGCACACCCCCTACTGGGGATGTGCCTGCAACCAAGGTACACACCCTTGACCGGAATCGAACCCGGGACCTTTTGGTCCACAGACTGACGCTCTATCCACTGAGCCAAACCAGTTTCAGCAAGATTCATCTTTTACATAAGAAATCCTAGAAGGGAAAGTACATTTGATACTGAAGGCAAAGAACTTAAAAGGCTAAAGGGTCTTAGTAGAGGATTTGACTTTTGGTTCTTACAAAGAGGCAAACACACAGTAATTCTGGATTTTGACTACCAGTTCATTTGTCCCTCCCTTCCACCTCGCTAGTCCTCTGGTTCTTGATCCTGGTCAAACTGTCATCTTTTCATTCTGGACAAGATGCCTATACCCAGGAATTCAGTTCTAGTTCTCTGCCCTCAGTAGCTCCAAATCTCCAGCTTGTTCCCTGAGCCCTCAAGCCCACTATTTATGATATCTTGGCTCCATCCTACAGCATAGAAAATAGAACACAACTCAAATAACGAATAGATTTTCCATCATTGTTATTAACCCATATTTCAGAAAATATCTGCAGGTGTTTGTAATGGAATGTGTATTTGTGAGTATTGTTATATAGAGCGAATATTTATAGACGTTTATATACACATACAAATCTGAATAGCTCATCATTTAAATGACAGAAGACATGTCAATCATGTCTTTAACTAATCACCTTCCTTCTCCCCTCCTTTTTAAAATTCATTTAATTAACAAACCAGGCTACAAAGAAAACAAATCACAGTCCAAGTCTGAACAGTCACATAATTTAGAGTAGAAATTTGAGTTGGATGCCTGTTACAAAGCTATATGCTACACGGATGTTTTAAAGAGGCTCTTTGCCTAAAGCCCTCAGAAGTACTCGTAATCTCCTGACCTTGACAGTCTTTTGCTGCTTTCATTCTGTCTCCACCCTTGACTCCGTTTCCAGTTTAACCTCCATTGCCCTCACGTGTATATCAGGCCCTCTTCACCCCTTTTTTCATTCTACTCTCTTGGTCTTGTCAGTTCCCATCTGTCTGTTTTTCTGTTCTTGCTTCTGAACTTCAGAAAAATGATATGCTTTACATGCATACCCCCTAACCTCAAATCAGTAACCCCATTATTCGTTTCTTGTTTACGACTAACAAAGCCATTCCTAGCACTTCCCACTCTTCTAAGCCCCACACGCATTCATTTTATTTAACAAATATTAACGGAGAACCAACAATATGCCATGCACTGTTTTGGGGGATGGATTTTACAGTAGGGGACAAAATAGATCCAGGCGCTACCCTAACAAACTTTATAGTCGAGAGGGAAACAGAAGTAGTTTCTCAGCCCTGGCTGGGTAGTTGAGTTGGTTAGAGCATTGTCCAGAATGCTAAGGTCTCAAGGGTGGGGGGGAGACAGAGCACGTACAAGAATCAACCAATGAATGCATAAGTAAGTGGAATAACAAATTGATGTCTTTTTCTCTCCCTTCCTCTCTCTAAAATCAATCAATAATAAATATATATTTTTAAAAGTAGTTTCTCTCCCTTCCTTTACTGGAAAATCCGGGTCTTTGGGGAAGCATCAACCCCCTTACCCTCCCTTCCTGCAGGTCATCTCTTGCTTCCTCTTCTTCAAGACTCTATCTTTGCTTCAGACTCAGGGAAAAGCCAGTATTATTTTCTTCCCCATGAGCTCTTGAATTCTTCCTTCTTTCCTCTTCTAAGACATAACATCTTATGGCTCATAATATTTTTTATTCTGAAATATAAATGATACTTATTTTAGATACTTTAAACTGTTGGTATTAACTACAAAACTGTATTTTGACTTTTTTTGACTAAAGAAATGCGAGTATATTTGCTAATATCTTTATATTTAGAATTTGCAGTTTCTTTGAGTGCTAGTCTTATATTTTTCCTTTTGAATTCTGTGTCCAGTCCCAAAATAATCAGTACACGAGCCAATGAATTGACATTCTTGGATCCGGTCTTGGATCCGGTCTAAACATCCTGATGAACAGTTCCTCAGCAGATATGTCAGCATGACTTCTTTTTAAGTGATTTTATTTGGATTGCCTTCCAGGTACTTTCTATTTTGCTATGAAAAAAGTCCTACACATCTAGGTTCGGGCTTTCAGTTTTTAATGTTAGACTGGCTAACAAATACAAAGAAAAATTATTTTCATTTTCTGATCCAATTTTAAATTGGTAAGGCAGAATGTTTCAGTATCTAAGAATTCTTACAAAATTTCCTGTTAGATTTAGTCATTACTTCTTAGGCACTATTGTTTTGCATTGAGGATCCAGGAACCAGGCCTGGCAAGGGTCTGCCTCGGGTCAGCCAGTAGTGTGTAGGTTCTTTCTTTCTTTCTTTATTTTTAAAAATATATATTTTATTGATTATTTATTTATTTATTTATTTTTTTACAGAGAGGAAGGGAGAGGGATAGAAAGTTAGAAACATCGATGATAGAGGAACATCAATCAGCTGCCTCCTACACTCCCTCCCTCCCCCGGCACTGGGGATGTGCCTGCAACCAAGGTACATGCCCTCGATCGGAATCAAACCTGGGACCCTGTAGTCCACAGGCCGATGCTCTATCCACCGAGCCAACTAACTTTGGCAGTGTGTGGGTTCTTGACTTTATGCAGGAAAGATTTCACAAACAAGCCAGGTGATTTTGAGAGTATGTTTATTTAAGCTGGGGACAGTGAAACAAAGGAAGGGTTTAAGGTAGAAGAAGCAATAGGAGAGAGAAAGAGAAGAGAAAAAGGGGGCCTTGGAGACGGGTTCAGGGAGTAAGTCTGAGATAAGCTGCCACTGGCCGCTACTCCCCTGGTTACAAGTCTCTTGGGGTCCTTTAGAATTTAGAAGAAAGAGAACAGAGAAGTGTGGGTGTATTCTAGCGAGAGCTTGCCATAGGTCTCTTGTCTTGAGGCTTTAATCTATCTTTGGCTCAGAAGAGGGTCTTAACAGAATATTCATTAGCTTTTCAGATGTGTTCAATATGTTAATATATCAAAATGTACATATAGCGACCTGAGGTGGGTGGTAGGCTAGAAGGGGTCGATGGGGGAAAAAGGAGGACATGTGTAACACTTTCAACAATAAAGATTTTTTTTTAAATGTACATATAGAGATGTCAAAGATTATTTTCTGGATAGATCTATTTTCAAAGAACATCATTGAAGAGGGTCAGGGACTAGGCTGTTCTATCTGGACACTGTCTGGAATGTGTAATCTATTTGCTATTAGATGTCCTTGGTTGGGAACATTAAAATCTTGTGATTCGTTGCCTGGCTGTAAATAGTTTGTCTCAAATAGTTTGGCCTTGTTTAATTATTTTGTCTCAGTTTCCCTTATTTTGCGTGCCAAGGAATTTCCCTAGCTTCTTACTATCCTGCCACGAAAGGACAGTTGGTATCCACCCCTGGCCCAATTTGCCTCCCTTCTTTGGGTTAGGAAAGAGGTCCCACTTCTGACCACATCCTCTGTGTCCCAGGTGCACATTTTGTTTAATGATCATAATTGACAGCTTCTCAGAGCCTCAAGCACTTGGGAACTCCTGGCGGGGAAGCAAGCTCACGCTGATAGGAGGGCGGTGTTGGGGCTGAGAGAGCAGTGGAAATGAATTGAGGCAAAAGAGGTACCTCCTATCAGGGAGATGTCTGCAGTCAGAATCAAGTTCAGCCCTGGCCGGGTAGTTCAGATGGTTAGAGCATCATCCTGATACGCCAAGATTCTGGATTTGATCCCCAGTCAAGGCATATATAAAAATCAGCCAATGGATGCATAAATAAGTGGAACAACAAATCGATGTTTCTCTTTCTCTCTCTCTCCCCCTCTCAAATCAATAAAAAAAAATTTTTTTTCAATCAATTCCAAAGGACAAAGTGAATTTTTACTTCCCTTTGGAGTATATCTACATGCAAAGGGTTCATCTAAGAAGCCTGAGGTGACATGTAGAGATGCAAATCTTAGATCAGAGAGGCCCTTAGAAATTCTGGAAGCAGGTGTAGCCCCATGAAAAGGCTCTTCTCTGAACCGGATGAGGGAGTCATAAAGGAACCCGGACAACACAGTTACAGCACAGTCTCCAGATCCAGTAAGAATGTTAGGGAGGAGGGTATCTAGGAATGTGGGTGGGTAAAAGGCTCATCAAATTACTCGGTTACATGGCGATGGTTTGTTAGGGCTCCGACTAGAGGGCTCTATTCTAAAACACAGCTGAAACTGATTCTAAATGCCTCCTCTGAAGCTGTCCTGGCTACTACTCTTCCTTCCCTCCCCTTCCCTCCCTCCCCGTTCCTTCCTTTCTTTTTGATAATCCTCACCTGCAGATATTTTTCCATTGATTTTTAGAGAGAGGAAAGGAGGGGGAGAGACACAGAAAAAGAGAAACATCGATGTGAGAAAGACACATCGACTGGTTGCCTCTCACACACCCCAACCAGCACTGGGAATTGAGCCTGCAACTTAGGTAGGTGCCCTTGACTGGAATTGAACCCAAGACCCTTCAGTCTGAGGGCCGATGCTCTAACCATTGAGCACCGGCTAAGGCCCGGCTCCTACCCTTTCATTGGCCATGGGAGATTGGTGAAACGGTGTTCTCTCATCCAGAACAGTAGATACAAACTAAAGTGGGGGCAAAGGTTGGCAGTGACTGACCTGAAACCATAGGACAAAGCTCATCATCTGATACACACACATACACACACACACACACACACACATACACAGAACTATTGGCTAGAAAAGCTACCCATTTATCAGTGGTGCAACATGTGACAAAGGAGTTGGATTAACCAGGGTCCATTCTTTTGCATCAGAGTCTACAGGTCTTATACCACCTGGTTATAAAGGCTCATGTTTTGGCAGGACCAATAACAGGATGGGTCTGAAAGAAACAACAAGAAGAGATTTAAAAGAAAAAATAAAGTTCCATTTTCTTGGCTGAAAAACAACAAACACACACACACACACACACACACACTACCACTTGCATAATTACAAAAGGCCTGACTTAGCAACCATTCACGAGAAAAAAAGACCTGTGTTTTTTTTGGTAATCATTCAGTGTTAAAACAAAATCCAATGAAATCTTAAATTGCATTAGTATAATGTCCAGATAAAAGGGAGCGAAAACAGCTCTGGTGAGGTGGCCAGTGGTTGGAGTGTCATTCTGTACACTAAAAAGGTCGTGGGCTCAATTCCACAGCAACGCACAGACCTAGGTTTTGGGGTTTGGGTCTGATCATGTACAGGAGGCAACCAATTGATGTCTCTCTGACAACATAATTTCTCTCTCTCTCATCAATAAACATATCCTTAGGTGAGAATTTTTTAAAAGGTTTTAAAAGGAGCAAAACCAAAAGATGGTCTAACTGAACTCAGCAGTGGTCAGGCCTCATATAGAGACCTTTTCTAACCTTGGAATAACTCTGTTCAAATGTTAACAGGTCAGGCAAGGGTCCTATGATCACCCCTCATGGGGCAGGAAGGCAGTCCCCCCCCCCCCCCAAAAAAAAAGTAGAATGTTGTTTCAAACTCCACTCTAAGCAAAACCAAAAGACCCGGAGAAGTTGTTTCCTTTATAACCAGGTGCTACAAGACCTGTAGACTCTGTTTTGCCTTCTATGGAGAGAGACACACCTGGTACAAATGAGCATGAATCCAGAGAAAGACAGTTAGGCTGGCAACCATGTCGCCTAATATGTAGTCAAAAGCACTTGTTGGGCTTGGCCGAAAGAGAAGATACTGGCAGGAAGGTGTCTTCTGGTGGTTAAAGGACCATCTGATGAGGTAGTAAGTAGCCTTAAGGTTTGTTCCTCTACGGGGCAAGCTGAGAACTAGATTTCCGCGTAACGAAAAGCAGGCATTTAAAAGAATCAAACCTGCAGGACAATAACATTCAATACTTTCCAAAATCATGGCTGTGCATTACTGAACACATCCCAGGGGGTGTCAGATGGTTCTGGAATGGAGTGGGGGGAGGGGGGGAGCTGAACTTCTTCCCAGCCCCGTGAGTCCATCATCCTCTCAGCCACCCATGTTTCTACCCGATCTCCATCCCTTCCCGTTTCTTCCAGGGTTTGCCCCCACAATCACCCTGTCTTCTCTAGCATCTTAATGTTTCCTTCCTCCGAAGATCCTTTCCAATTTTTATGCATAAAGAAGGAAACACCTTCTCGGGGTCTTTTGGTTTTGCTTAGAGTGGCATTTGAAACAGCATTCTACTTCCTTTGGGGGACTGCCTTCCTGCCCCAGGAGCGGTGATCCTATGACCCCTGCCTGACCTGTTACCATTTTGAACGTAGTTATTTCAAGGATGGGCACGTGACCCAAGTCGTCCGATAAAAATCAGCTCTAAGATTTTTGCTGAAACTATCAGGAGCTGCTAGGGCCACTTATCTGTTCATCGCGAAGCTGGAGCTGCCAGAAACCAGCCTGTGGAAAGAGGCTCTAAGAAGCCAGCGCAACAAGCGGGTGTGAGGGGTGAGGAAAGAGAAAGAATATTCTGATGATGTTGTCAAATCCCTGCACTTTCCAGTTACACAAGCCAATACATTCCCTCTTTGGTTTAGAGGGCTGATTCTTGAGGCCAGAGTAGTGTGAACAATATGCTTGTGCTTTCAAGTCTCTAACTTCTCTCTTCTTTTCTTCTCACTCCTTTGCATGGTTTCCAGAGCCCATAGCAACTTGGCCCTGCCCACCTCTCCGGCTTCATCTCTCCCCAGCCCTCCCCACTTCGCTGTAGACACAGTGCTGGTCGGGAGCGGGCAGGCTGGCTCTGTGCCTGCCTACAGTCTGCTCCCCTTGCAACAGTTCTGCAAAGAACTTTCTTTTCTCTCCTAAATGCCTTTGTCCCCGTGGCTGCCTTGCACATTGACCTGTGTGTTTCTCTCTGTGGCTTCTCCATTTTTCTGTTCTTTAGATTAGAATCTTGGCAGCGTTAAGACATACTCCCCGTCTGGGCTAGATGCTGATGGTATAACAGGGAAGTCAACGTTCACAGCTCCTACCATGTTTTCTTACATCTCGGGGTGGGGGAAGAGGGGGCTGCTCACTGAGGCAGCTTTATC